CCTTTCATAAAAGCACACTTAAGTACTGGTATATCAGCGTCATCAATAATTTCAGCTTACTCTTTGCAGTACTCATTTTTGACAACATTTATTACACGTTAAAAATGCAAAGGCTCATGGGTAGATGCTTGTTTGTAAACAATGGCACGCTATTGCCATCTAACGGATATGCAGGCTGACGACTCCCCTGCTTTAAATACCCATATTATATCGTATCTGTGCAATAACAATTTCTGAAAGTCTATTATGTGTGTTGATACTTTTGGCGGTACCTGATCACTGCATTATAATAAAACATTAGTTACCCTCAAACTGTACCAAACATGGAGTATGGTTTTTGTGGCAAAAATGCACTGATTATATATGTAAATATAAAAACTGCTTGCATACTGTTTGCACCAGATTACTGGTATACAATGGAATACATCTTGTAGGGAGAAACCACAATAAACACACTACTAAACAACAATTAAGTGACCTACTTAGTTTGTTTTGTCACATGTTTACCAGTCTCCAGGTCCACTAGATGTACTCTAACCACTGGATGAGTCAGATACAGATCTGTTTTCAGACTGTCTGTTCTGTGAATATTTATTCCCAACACTGTGCCGTCATCGGGGGTGTACTCAGGTTCTGGTGGTAGATCCTCTGCCACAGGTTCTACAGGACACAGGAATTAAATTTACAGTTGCAGTCTCAGATCATTTTATATTAGGGGAGGGGGGGGGGGCTAATATGGGAAATATGTATGAACATTTCCGTGAGTTTCAGTATGGTCCATCGTTTGTGTTTTGGCTTCTTATTCAATTGGATGTTTGAAATTTCATTTGTAATGCTAACAATTTCAATGTACATAGACTCATAAATGTTCACTTATGGGATCTGCAGTATCTCAGTATAAGGATAAAACTCCAAACACAGTTAGATCTAAGTGATCTATTAAATAGGGTGAAAATGTTATCACAATTTATTTGGTTTCAAAATGTAGATTTTATAGTGTTTTTACACCATATTCTAGAATTGTATTTTGTTGCAATGGCTACTCAAAAAATCATTTTACACATAATCAGCCTATAGTAACTATGACAACTCACCTTGTCTTTTCTTTTTCTTTTTTTTCTTGCCTTTTACCTTTGATGTCTCTGTCGCATCAGTCCTATCATCTTCATTCTCCGTCCTGGTTGTTTCGTCCGCGGATCTGACCTTATCAAGTTCATCTTCTGTTTTCTCGTCTTCCGTTACTGTTGTTGATTTAGGTTTCTTTTTCTTCGTTTTCTTCCTGGGTGTGTCTTCCAGCTCTGATATTGTCATCGCACCACTGATAACATAAACAATAGGTTTGAGTTTCGCCGTTACCTTACAAACTTGTGAACTCTGGTGTAAAATCGTTTTGTCTGCGTAGGGGGTTGATTTCTCCAAACACTGTTCAATAGCTCATCAGAACACCGAGAACCAGAGAAACGAGCGACAATATTGTGTGCATTAGACCCCCCCCCCCCATTCTCACACAGAAACCAACTGATGACGATATAACTCAAAGTTCATCTATTAATGCAACAGTTCAAATTGAGTTCATGCCTTTTGATGATTTGAAAATAGTGATTTGCAATAATGTAATATACTTTATTTTAGCAGGAATTAATTTTCGCTGAAAAGGGTTTTTGGGTGTTTTGTATGAAATTTATTTATTTATTTTCACTGATTTTTGATGACTTGAATGTGAAATATAGGAAAAAAGGTATATTCGCTGGATTTTATTTTCACTGAATCATCACAAATACTAATAAACTGTGTACACAAAAAACATTCACTTCTGATTAAAAACTAATCAAATTAATTATTGCTTCTCACCCATCATCTTCAGATGTCACAACCTTCAATTTTTTCTTCTTTTTAGGTTTCTTTGGCGTGTCAAGTTGACTATCAAGAGCAGTTTCCTCGATGTACATATCGTTATCTATGCCTTTCTTGGCTTTACGAGCATTCTTATTGTTTTTTCTAGTGCGAGGAGATTCGTCTTCATTGTATATATTTGCTGCGATGATTGAGTCTTCATTGTCTTTCTTAACAGCTGTGCCTTTCTTAATTGTCTGAAGCTGAAATAAACAAGACAGACAATCATGACAAAGGATCCTAGATAGGGATTATATTTTTAAAATGGCAATGCATTAGACGTCTTACAAGTATGTTTATTTGCGTAGTCATTGAACTATTGAGTAGATGAATAATAATAAAGTCAAGTCGTGAAAGGTGGATTATTGTGGGGCTACGTGTATATAAAACTAGTTTTGGTAGTGAGATATTTAAAGTTCAAAGTACAAAAAAAGTTGGGGTAGTTATGGTGAAAATAGCTGAATTTAACTACACAGAACATGGAAACAAAATTTAAATTTCAAAATATACTGGTAATTAGTGTTACAACTAACCCACTGTTAGTAGGTATTTGAGGAATCTAAAAGAGTGGTGGAACAAAAAGTTGAAAGACAAGTTAAACTAGCCGACTGACTATCTGACTGTCTGTAAGTTGGAGATTACAACACACGGTAATAATTTATACTGCAAATTCCAGTCACACGTATACTACTACAGTAAACAGATCAGGAAATCCATTATCATCAAATCGCTGTCAAAAACAAAATTAGGAAATTTTCCTTACCATTATCTCCTCGTCTGTTTTCTTCTTCGTCTTCCTCTTTTTTCCATCACTAAAAAAAAAACAATGAACAGTAAAATTACAAATCTGCTACAATATACATGTAAATACTAATAAACTATGTGAAACCTGCTATTTATTCACTAATCACCTTATTAACAGAGGCCTGTACATAGTCTATGCTGACTTATTATTGATGCAAGGTTACATTGACAGCCATTTTATTTTCACACAAAAACATGTAACACCTGTTTGGGGGATAAAGAAATTCATTTCATTCTAATATAAAGAGCATTACCTTTTAGATTTATCAACAACTGCTTTCAGAAGATCTTCAATTTTTGTGTCAGGTTGTGAGGCTAAAATAGAGAAACATCAGACAGATACAGTGATGTGCGTATAATTGTTACTGAAGGAGTTCTATAATCAGGATTTTGTACACTCAGATATTCAACAATGTATAACAACTGCCCGACTTAAATCAGTTGTCAAATGTCAGTCTAGCGAAATCAGGAATAAAATGTAATTTCAATTTAGTGAATAGGGATGTAAATGTCAGTTTGGTGAATCTACATATATCTGTTCAAATCCCTACTTCAGACATTGCAGCAAGGTAGTTTGTCAACACATTGGGCTTATATCGCTTATAAGATGGTATATACGAGTATGTAAAACTATATTATATGCTACAAAGTGAAACAAAATTGATATTTCTAACCATACCACTGGCAAAATGAATTATGCTAATAATTAATCATGAATTTTATATAACGCAACCAAGAAAACAAAACATAAAACATGAAACAAATACCATATAATATTTTAGCTGGAGTTATTTTCACTGATAAGACATTTTGGCTGTTTTGTATAAATTTATTTTCACTGATTTTTGATGGGTTGAATGTAAAATACAGAAAACAAGATATTTTCACTGGATTTTATTCTCACTAACCCATCCCTGCAGCGAAAATAGCAAAAATAAATTCAAGTGAAAATAAAGTAATTTACAGTATTAGATCATACCTCAAAACAATATTTATACTGTACCAAGTATCTACAAAGCAATGTGCTAACATTAATCAATATTATGCTACAATATTTTCATTCAAATTATCTAGGTTTGTAATTGGTAATTCAGATTCACCACCAAGATATGTATATGTGGCAGGTTTGAGTTCATTCATTCATAATTTGGTTCAAGAACAAATGATTCTTCAAATTTTATTTCCAGAAACTGCAAAATATGATTCTATTTTTCAGCTGTGGAATAAGAGAAATACTAAATTGTTGCTTTACACATTTACTTATAATATTTTGAATGAACTACATACTGAAATTAAAATCAAAAAAAAATTTGTGATTAATTTTTTAACAAAATAAAATGGCTTAAAGTTAAAAAGAAAATAAGCAACATAAAAAAAATGTCCGCAATGCGTATCACACAGGTGTAAAACGGTGATGAGACAGTTATAAGCAAATTTAACTTGCCAAGCTGCAGCACCTGTTGGGTTTCTGTTCAAATATCGCTATGGGCTTTTATATTTTTTCATAATTAAAATGAAAAAACATTAGAAATTACAATTTGATAGGCAGCCATAGTAGTAATCTGTTTACAAAATATAAATATATATATATACAAGATGACCCTGATGAGGGATGTGACAGAAATATTGAAACATGACATTGTGTCTTACATTCTCTTTCGTGTTCATTTTCTTTTCCTATCACTTTGGATTTCTTCTTCTTTTTTCTTATGAGAGCTCTCTCTGTAGTGAAATGAGCATGGAATATGAAGTAAAGTGAAATGTACATTGTTATCAATCACCCAAATATGGCAAGTATGGAAATGAGCTGATAAGTGACAGGAAAAAGGTAGGAAGTCTGTCTGTGGTATGAAGCATATACTGTAGAATACTTTATTTTCGCTTGGAATATATTTTCGCTGAAGGGATGTTTCCTTGAAAATAAAATCCAACGAATATACTTTTTTTTCCTATATTTGACATTAAACTCATCAAAAGATCAGTGAAAATAAATTCTACACAAAACGCCCAAAAAGCCCTTTCAGCGAAAATTAATTCCAGCGAAATTAAAGTATTCCACAGTACTCCCCGGACATCAGCATTTTGCGGGTATTTTTTTTAAAATTCATTTTAGACAAAGAGCTAAGTGTTTTCTGTTTTATACGCAGTATATGAGAAATAATTAGAAATGTCCTAATACACTAGTTGCCATTATGACAAAATTGTTCAAGACTAAGTTTGAGAAAACTGAACCCTTGAGAAGTCTGTCAAATGATAAGTTGTTTCTTGTCTTGTAGACCATATGTTCATTTCTATGTCAGGTAATACTGTAAAATCTGTATTAGAAGCCGCAGTACAATGCGTACAATGCAACAGAGGGGATGTGGTTTCTATTAGAGCATCTACACATATGAGAAATGATGAATTTTTGATTCTCAATTGTTCAAAAAGAATGGGTGCGACTTCTATTAAGGATGCGGCTTTTAGTATAAATTTTACGGTACTAACTACCGAAAGAGCCTACATATACTGTAGCACTGAATCAGAATATATATCAAAACATTCATGGCTCTGCTACATGGCAGTTTAATGTTTTTGAGTTGATTTTGATCAGATAAAACACAAAACAGCTTTAAACAAGTCTGCATGCAATTGAATTGGACGATATCTATTAGTGTTAGACAACTACGTTAATGCATATTCAAACATATATGTAAATATGAATCACCTGAATCCCACAGATTATTAATTTGTTAAGATGAAATGCTTTGAGAAATGGAGGCAACTACTGCAAATGTTATAATGCACTAAACAGTTTACAAAAATGGTCTATAGAAATTGTAATGAAATCTACTGAATTGTACAGAATAACTGTATTTGCTTTCCAATCTCTAGAAGCATGTATGAACCATTGAATCATTAAACTATTATTTATTTTCCCATAGAAACATACTACCTGTAATGTACATATAGGCAAATGCACTACTAAGATGGTGAATATAAATGTATGTATTACAAGATCAACTTTGTCACTATTCACAAATTTTCAATCAACATAATTTTTTCAAAAATTTCAATCAAGACTTGTAGTCAATAAAAACGTGTGTTCATTTGGTTCAAAATTATCAAAATACTTTTTAAAAATACATAAAAACAGATAAAATGTAATTGTTGCACCAAAATGATGGTGAGAAAAATTATGACACTCAAACGGTTAAAAATAAATATTATACATTTAAATTAAATTAAATTTAGCAACAATTTATTTAGTTTCATGGCTGCAATATACATTGAAACAGAGTATCAATTTTGTTCACAGCATCTATGTATACTTTAATCAGATTTAAATAATTTAGAAAGAGACAACATTTATCAAATTTCATAAATCAGTGAAAATAAACAAATTTTGTAGTACCGGTAGTGAATATTTTCACATTGGGGGGGGGGGGGGGGTTATTACACAGTGTCAGTGAATTTTGTGAAAATATGTCTTCACAAGTGCCATAATATCCTGAAATTTCCTAGCAGTGAAAAATATGCAATTTACAATATGTCATAATCAGACATAAACAATTTTTCTACAAAATAATTTATCAGACAAAATCAAATTTGTGATAGTAAAAATTTGTATTTAAGAGTTCATTAAAATCACAGCCCCTCTATCACTTTGACTGTGTTAAAATCAAATAAACAATCAGTTTTTCACATCTTGTAAATGCATCTATTGGCTACAGAATTCTGAAACCTCAATGCCCGACCTCCCCTATCCTGAGCCCTAACCCTAACACTCTTGCTAGGACCCTAGCATAATTGTATATGTTCCTCCAGATAACTGAATTTAGTCTGAAGAGGGGCTAATAGAATTGAAATGATGCCGGGGCACTAGAGAGCCAGGGTTAGAATTAAGTGAGGGGCTCCTGAAGGAACTCTTAACCAAAATTCATGGGGTTTGCACATGCAGCATTATGCAGCTCCCCTGATAATTCCCAATAATATAAAAATTGAGCTCTGCAATAATTACGTCAAAATACTCGACACAGTATACTACAGAATCGCAGTCAATCGCGTAACTGTATCGTCAAGTATATAGGGTCAGTTCACTGGCGATACATTGCACACCGTAGTCAGTCACTACGACAACCACGGAAGCGTCACAGCCCTGACCTGTCGACCTCTAAACAAATACAAGGTTCGATTGCCTTTGTTAGTATTTTCTGTGATCAGAACAACCCCATTAGATATTCCGGTGTCCGGTTTGTGACATACTATTAGTACGATATATCAGCGACAGCGTGGATGCCAAGGTTTTGCGTTAATCTACGCATGATTTGGCGTGATTCCGGTGTCAACAAAACCGTCACAAACATAATTCACGCCTCGATCGAAATAACAATACGCAGAAAATGGCCAGTCGGGGACTTGCTTGAATGTACTGCACGGAACAAAAACCCTTGCTCCAAACCTGTTGGTGGAACTCGGTAACCTGGGTGCAAATCCATCTACAACGTCAGAAACACACAAAAAAATACAAAATTCAACAACAAATCTTACCTTCGACGTCCATGATTGAGACTATTTGTATCCAAAATGGTTTTGTTAGGGGGTCTTATTCCAAGGTTTGTACAACCAGCTCTCTGATTGGTGAGCGTAAAACTTGCTGAAAAGAATGTAATTAGTTTTGGTCGCTAAGCTCCATAATTAGTCTCTCTGATTCGATAAAAGTGCATTATATGAGTGTAAAAATTGTCATAATTAATAATAATATTGAAAAAACGTCTTTATTTTAAAGTCACCCCGACTCGCCCAGTTCCCAAAGAGCCAATCATATGCGAGCTTATTGGAACAGTGCTACATTCAAGCACCCTGGGTAATTTTCGTCTGGCTAGTACATGTACACCCTAACGCGGCATTCCTTCGAGTTACCGATCTCGTAAACCGTACAAGCCCCTCGCACAAGAGTGAACAAACGTTAAAAAATATGGTACGATATTTGCTCTAATAAAAGCGTAGAAGGGCGTATACAACACTGTAAATGGGGCACTGAAATATTTCTTACATATATTTTGGTGAAAATGGCAATAAATAAATAAATAAATAAATAAATAAATAAATAAATAAATAAATAAATAAATAAATAAATAAATAAATAAATAAATAAATAAATAAACCAGAAGAGAATATGGGGTGGGTGACTGGATGTATGGAGGGTCACTGAGTGTGAAAGGGTGAATCGGAGTAATTTTTCGAGAAAATAGTTCTATGATAAACCTGATTACACGGGACTTCATCATAGAAATAACGTGTAGCATGTTCCAACAACATATGTACGAACAATATCTTTAATAAATATAATTTTAGTTAGTGAAAATATTGAATTTTACTCTTTTAAATTTAAAGAATTTTGCAATGTTAAAAACATAAACTCTCTATTATATTATAGCGTGTATGGACTAATGCTATTAACATGTAGATTTTTTTAAAATGGGTTACCGAGTTCAAAATATAATGAAAACTAACATAAACTTGTATTTTCTATAATAATTCATGTCATGAAATTTTGCTCGTTGCTATGTGGATATCCTTACTGAGATGAAGATTCAAAATACACATAACAATATTTCAGGAATGCAAATGCTGACATTGAGCGCCCTCTAGCGGTGTAGTCGATTCGATCCGCATGTAAGTCTGTTCCTTTTTCGAGAT